TTAAAAACTAAAGCAGCTTCTGTTGTTACAGCAACAGGTGACAGTGTTATTTCAGGTGGGAAAAAAGTTACTGATAAAATAAAAACCACAACTCACAGTGTAGCAGAGACTACTAAAGATGCAAAAGATGCTGCAGCGAAGGAAATTAAAAAAGATGCTGAAATCGTCAAAGGTGCTGCAATTGCTGGAGCTGATGCTGTTGTGGATGGTGCTCAGTCAGCAAAAGATAAGGCTGCAAAAGAAACCAAAAAAGCTAAAGAAAAAACATCTGGATTTTTATCGGGAATATTTAAAGGAGCTAAACACGCAGTTGATGATGCTTCTGAAAATGTGAAAGAATTTATTGAAGATACAAAAGCTGAGGCAGTTGAAGAAAAAGAACGTGGAAAGAAAGCTGTTTCCGAAGCTACTAAATCTGCAATAGATACAAAAGATAAAATCGCAGTTGAGGTTAAAGTTCTAAAAGATAAAACAGTAGCAGAAGTACACGATACTAAAGAGAAAACTGCAGATGCTGTTAAAGATGCAAGAGATAAAACAGTAGCTACATCTCTAGACGTCAAAGAGAAAGTAGTTTCTGACGTTAAAAACGTTAAAGACAAAGCAGTAAGCAAAGTACATGATACCACACATCAGGTAGTAATTGGTGTAAAGGATGCAAAAGAAAAAATAACTGATGGAATAAAAGATGCAACAGATAAAACAACTATTGGTATAAAGGACGTCAAAGATAAAACTGTTAAAGCAGCTGCAGTAGCTGGAGACACTATTGTGTCTGGAGGTAAAAAAGTTATTGGAAAAGCAGAAACTACAGCTCACGAAGTTTCGGAAAAAGCAATAGATACGAAAGATGCAGTAGCCAAAGAATTGAAAGAAGACACCGAAGCTGTGAAAGGTGCAATAAGCACTGGTACTGATACTCTTATTGACACAGCCAAGTCAGCTAAGGATAAAACTGCAAAAGAAGCTAAAAAAACTAAAGACAAGACCTCCGGATTTTTCTCGGGTATTTTTAAAGGAGCCAAGCACTCAATCGATGATATTTCTGTAGATGTAAAAGACTTTTTGGACAGGACGAAAGCTGAAGCTGCAGAAGAAGAGGAACGTGCTAGAGAAGATGCTGCAAGAGCTTCTAAATCTTTGGCTGAAGCAAAAGACAAGACAATTTCTGGATTTCAAGATGCAAAGGAAAAAACAGTAGCCGGTGTTAAAGATGCAAAAGACAAAACAGTAGGTGCAACGCAAGACATCAAAGATAAAGTAGTATCGGTCACTAAAGATGCTAAAGATACAGCGGAAAGTAAAATAAGTGATATTACACATGTAGCAGCTATTGATGTGAAAGAAGCAAAAGGAAAGACAATTGAGGCAGTACAAGATGTAAAGGAAAAAACTGCTGCAGGCATAAAGAATATCAAGGATAAAACTACTCTTGCAGCATCAGAAGTGAAAGATAAAATAGTTTCTGATACTAAAATGACGGTTGATAAAGTTGAAAAAACAACAGAAAAAACTGCAGATGATACTAAAGATTCGAAGGATAGTCTAGAAAAAGAATTTAAAAAAGATAAAGAAATCTTAAAGGATACTGTTATAACCGATACTGAAAATGTTATAAAATGTGCTCAATCAGCAACAGAAAAAGCTGCAAAAGAAACGAAGAAATCAAAAGACAAAGCAACTGGTTTCTTTTCGGGTATTTTAAAGGGAGCTAAGAACGCAGTAGAAGATATCTCTGGAGATATTAAAGAATTTGTTGAAGAAACCAAGGCCGAAGCTGCTGAAGAAGAAGTGCGAGCAAAAGATGCAGCGGCTAAAGCTGAAAAATTAGTAGATAATGTAAAAGACAAAGCCGTTGCTGAAATTAAAGATGTAAAAGATAAAACGGTAGAAGGAGTAAAAGATGCAAAAGAAAAAACAGTAGCTGGTGTTAAGGATGCAACAGATAAAACTGTAACTGCTACGCAAGATATCAAAGAGAAAATTGTGACTAGTGTTACAGATGCTACAGGACAAGCAGCAAGTAAAGCTAGTGACGTTAAGGAAAAAGTAGTAACTGATGCAAAAGATGTTAAAGATAAATCAAAAGAGAAAGTAAAGGATATGACGGAGAAAACAGTGGAAGTC